CCTGTATTTCTATACTAGTTTTTTTTTTTCATTTTCCTGTCATGAGTCCAATATAAAAAAGCCTTATTTAACCTTCTTTTATTTGTTGGTTATTCTCATTTTAAAACCAGTACACTTTCGTCCTAAGTGTTAAGACATAATTTTCCTGAATTTGGCCTAATGACCGTTCGGTGTAATGACCACCTTGATCTCAATATAATCTGTTGGATATATCTCATGGTAGCCTGGTATAAATTAAAGGTACGGGCCGTTTCCCCGAAACACCAGGAACATGTTCTAATGTGGTCGATGGGTCCTGGGTACTCAATGTGACCACCAGCTATCATGTTTTTAAAGTTCGTCTGATTTTAACATCAACATCTCCAGGCCGTTCTTCAATTTTCACCTTCCGACATCGCACACCCGATCACCACAAAATCCAGGGCAACGTTGAAGCCAGCCACCTTGCCTCGTCAGGAAGACTGACATTCTTGTATACACGCAATGTACCTGGCCCTGACCTATAAAGCTGGACCAGCCGAGTCATCTGGGAGGTCTGGAGAAGGGAATGGCTAAACTCACGGGATCTATTATTCCGCAAAATGAAAGGAGACCCAGCTGCCCACCGCTCCAAAGTCGTTCTCTCTAAACTAAGATTCAGAGATGTAAACTTCCATAAGTCCTGTCCAGCATGCCGAACCTATCATCCGGTTGAGCATTTCGTCTGCCACTGCCCTTAGTACCAGGGAGCCAAAGAACTGTACGACATTCCCGGTAGCATCCGGGACGCACTCAGTGACGATCCCAGCCCCGCTTCCTCCGAGAGGCAGGCTTATTTCATCGGATACGACCTCCACCAAACTAGATAGCGCACCACACGATTTTGACCTCCAAAGGTTTTGACCACGGCCACTCACGGACTTCCATTGAGTCATCTCAATTACACCACGAACACGAACAAGACACCGATCATTGCAATGAGAACGCGCACCAGAAAACCCCCAACGAACGCAGGACACCTCCAACCTAACATACCGGCACCACATTGACGACAGATAATTTACATTAAGACAGCTTATGGGTCTCCTTTCCCGAGGCCCACCTTTATTTTTCGGGAAAGTTCCCTCTGGAAACTTCACAGAAAAGTTTGTAATAACATCAACATCACACAATTCAGAGCTCTACCTTTGACACATAGAGTTGAAATTTGGATTTTAAGACAATCCTATTGATGAGCAAAAATTTCATCAAGCAGAAATATTAGAAGAGCCAGGTAAAGGCAGATACTAATGCATTATTAGCAATTCAAAATAAAGGATGGGTTTTTTTCGAAAAGATGTAGTCAAATTAATGTCACACTAGCGCCGCCTGGTGAGTAAATTTTGAACAAAACTCTTCACCTTAGGATAAAGTCTGGTCCGCTTAGAATCCAGACACTTGATTCATTCTATAAAAGCGCATATAGAGGTCGGATTTGGAATGTTTTGAAAGTCATTTGGTTTGAAGGTACACGTATTTCAGTGGTAAAAGTGTCGTCTCCATACGTGCAGTATTAAAAAAGGTGTACCATATGGAAGACCAGAGACGAAACTTGATTCTGCACAATTTGAGAAACGATGCAGTATTCGGTTTTGATACAGATGTCATTCTTGCCTTCATCGCAAGGAATCGGTTCTAATTGATATTTATACCCTTCGAAAAGTGATAGCACCTTCCAAACGCACACCATCAGTCAAAATTGGATTCCTTAACAATACAATTAAACAATAACAACACCGATAATTACCATGCATCAGAACCCTAGTCTTAATCAGTTAAAACTAGAGTACATCGAATAGAAGAATAGGAATATCATAGATGAAGACTTAATAACTCATTTTACCTTGTTTCAAGATCATTCTCGGTGGACAAAGCCGAGTCTTGTTTCAAACACTGTAATGGAAAGTAACTCATAATTCAACGTATCTTCTTTCATATGAGAAAGAATTTTAAACACAAAATTTTCAGATACAGAAAAAGTACAAATTTTGCAAATTTTTCATAAATTCGGGCTTCACCATCGAATTTATTAACACAGAGGAAACTGCCTTTAACTGCAAATACCTTCTTAAGAATTTTTTTTTATAATGAAACTATTGAAAACATCGTCGTATCCTTCATACATGTTTGATGATGATTTATTTACCACGACCATATCCTTGTTTCCAGAATTCAATTGCTTGAGTATTTTAACATGACAGCTCACAGCACAGAAAAGGATTTCCATATCGAGAAAGTGAGGCCTTAGCGTTTTTTTTTTAAAGACTGCCAGTTGATCTGAGTGCTCATGGAAAGCAAATCCCTTACTATTTAACTTTATGATTTACCGATTCTTTTGCACTGTCACTGCCGTTCTGACCAGCTTCTTGGTTCACGATATTTTATAAAATACTAGCTGAGTGTGCCCGGCCTTGTTCGGGATTTAATATTAGCTTTAGTTTATGCGCCAATTAAAAAAAAACATGCTATATTGTACGTATGCCCTCCCCCCTCTAATCTAAGGGGCTATCCTCTATGACCTTCACACGTCAAATTTGGTTCCATTTGCTTGATTAGTTCTCGAGGTATGCAGAAATTTATGTTTCATTTGTATGGGAGCTCCCTCTTACAGAAGGGGGAGGGGTCTTGAACCATCATAAGAACCGTTTCCTGCCCCAAAAACCCCTGCATACAAATTTTCACGCCAATCGGTTCAGTAGTTTCTGAGTCTATAAGGGTCAAAAAGACAGACAGAAATTCAATTTTATATATATAGGGTTAACTACCCCATTTCCGGCTTATTAAGCACAACCCACACTTAGTCTTTCGTAATATAGCGCAGTTTAGCACCAAACGGAATTTTATTATTACTGATGGCCTACAAAAAAAAACAATCGTAGAGCTATTGTCAAAAGTCTAACACTGCTTCTTGACGCCAAACTCGGCCTGCGGATTCTAAACTCGGCCTAACGCATTGAAACGCCAATGAATTCACTTCGGCCTATCGGATGAAGATAAAAATTGATTCGGTCGAAGCGCTTGTATTGTTTTTGGGAATAATGGGTGCCAACCTTCATATCACGCGTTTTCATTGACTTCGTTCGGTAGCTTATTAAATAAAGTAATCGTACCAAACGCATAATTGACTTGTTAACTCTGAAATCATGGATTTATTTGAAGGTTTCTGCTCGATAGGCCCAAAATTGGCGATTAGGCCAAAGTAGTTCTCTACCCTATAGCAGATATAAGATAGAAGATTTCAGGTTTGGTAATTCGAGACCTTTTATAAAGTATTCACTCGTCAGTGCTTTAGTGCTACTAAAAATACTATAACAATATATTTAACATCAAAAATTAAAATTAGCCTTAGCATGTTTCAAATGACCAGTACCGGTACCGAAAAATCACCCGGTATTACAACCCTAAGTGTGACTCAATCTACGACTTCCAAAAATCTGCGAATGTCTGCGACAAAAATAAAAACTCTGGAGTCTGCATCGTGGAAAATTCCTACAACAAAAAATTAAAAGGAAGCACATTCACAGGCATGTCTGCAAATCTGGTACCTGTATTTCTGCCACAGACATTTCGGTAAAATTGTCACGAACCGATGTATTATTAGTGAGCATATCTACCAATACTCAGAGAACATAGCTAATTACTGCTCAGCAATCAAGCTACGGTGTGACTTTGTCTTGACAAGAAAACAAATTAACAAGAAAATCCCAATGTTGACCTTCACGAAGGCAGGTGATAAATCTCCTAGAACACACCGTTTCACCACACATGGGGCAAATAATATCCCCACCGGCAAGAGACCACCTTTAGCTATTTCTTCCGTCAAACACAAACAAACTCGCCAACTGACCGTTGAGAATCGACCACAAACAGAAAGCGCACCTCTCATTATTACCGCTCGTGTCATATCGTCGACGCGGCCATATTTTTCCACCCCCTCCCGGTTGCTTGTTGTCATTATTAGTATTGTTGATTTATCCTTCCCCGTCATCCCCACGAACGCTAAGCAACGGAATGGCTGGCGACCTCGAATGCGGGCAAGGTGAGCTCTCGATGCCGTCCCGTTTTTGCTTCATTCACAATTTCTCCCCCAAATCGCTTCTTCGTCACAACTCACCAAAATAAAGACAATTTTTCCCCTGTCGCCTTTGTTATCGCTTTCGGGCACTAATTTTAGATACGTAGGTACAACCGGTGCGCGGTGGCCCCACGGAGCAAACACGGATTTAGCAGTATCTAGCACTTTCTCTCGGCCGCCGCGGAGATCCGTCCGGCCAGAATGCGAACGCAGGCGGTTTTCCGATTTTTGCGGGGGAGTTACAGCGGAATGCACGGCGTTCTATTTTTAGGTTAGGTTCACCGTCGCACCATAAAGAAACGTCAGCACCTTTTTTTCTACTTCTTCTCTCTATCTCTATCTGCTGAGGGGTTTGGGGGCACTCATTTAAGATTGGGTAGGCCTACTTGGATCGGTGCCAAAATCAAAGATCGGCCAACCGATTCTGCGGCCAGGCCTATTAAGCTGTCACAATCAGCTGCTGAGCCTGCGAGGTGATACAAAATTGCTAATTTTGTTTTTGTTTGATCTGGAAAAGCGGGTGTTGAAAAACGGTAAATTGATATTTTCGTTAGAGATTGGTTTAACGCATTCCACCCAAATGGATCAATGTTTAATTAAACCGCTTGTCTGTAAATATTGACATAGTGTTTCGTCCTGTTGATTCTAGCAGCAGTGTGAGGATGAGGCATTCACTTTGATACTTTTAAATCACCTCAGGTGATGACAGAACGGATTGAGCATGGTCCAGATAATCACAGAGGGCGTGTTTATGTCAGACACGCGGAGGCCGCCAAAGATCAAAGCAATTGTCGAGTCGGGCCCTTTCAACCTTTCTTCTCACTGCACGCTTCTCACTCATCCCCATGGAAATTGTCGTGATTTATATTTCTATCCGCAAGAAGGCGAGCCAGGGACAAATACTGACCTGTTTCGCTTAACCGTGCCGCTTTTATATTGAAGTATTCCAATTATCCACTGTCACCGTGGTCGTCGTTGTCGTTGTCCTGGAATCCGCCCGTTCGGAGTAATCCACACCGCTTGGATCGAGCTAATTAAAATTCCAGTCCTTGTCGATAAATGCCTGGACAAAAAGGCAGTTTTCCGGCATGCAGCACACCCCGGTCACTAACTGGCACTGCACTGTGTGACCGACCTGGAAAATAACACACGTTTGCACCGACTCACGCACGACCGAATCGAAATAGTAGACGGGGACATGCGAAACGGTTCACGAATCGTCCGCGTCACGGCCAACTGTTCGACTGACCGCACTCTGATCGAGGCGCGAGATGATGCGCGTGCGAAATATGCTCAGTGAGCAGGTTTGTGAGGAGCGGGAGAGAACAGCCTAAACTTACTCACGCAATGTGGTCGGCGCTCGCATTCAGTGCATATTTTTACTTATTCATAAACAATTTTCGTGAAGTTAACAACCCTATTTTTAACTTTTCGCGTGGAAACCAACGTCGTCGCTATTCTTTGGTGTGAGAATATTATGGATCTCATCTCACGCTCGGCTCCCTCTCTCAGTTTTCCCTCATAGAAGAATATGTCTGGCGGCAGTCTCCGCTTTTTGAAGGCCAAGTGTAAACTGTTTTCCTTTGAAAATATACCTATCATTCAAAAATATGTAACAAACACACACTCGGAGGAATAACATGCGGACCATAAGAGCGCCATACGTGCGAAGGAGAACGAAAGCATAAATGTTATTGTTTTGGCACCCGAGTGTTTATTTTAGGAGATCATTATCGAGCAATTTGTGCACCTCTTTGCAGTCGAAACGTTCGGGGTTATTATTTTCCAGCTCACCTCCGGCTGCAGGTTATCGGAATTTCAATTTTCCACGGATGAATTAGAATTGGTTTGGAAAAGTTTTCCCCATCCGTCGTCGTCGTCGTCCTCGATTGAATCGTTAATCACCGGGAGCGCTGCGCGGTTGTAAAGTTCCTTCACTGTTAGTCCTAGAGCTTTATGCGACTTGGAAGCTTAGCTTAGCTTAGCTTAGCTTAGTCTGACTGCACGTATCGATAGTTGCACTCCGTGATTGATCTGAACCAGTGAAATTGTACAAAGAATCAACTGAATGGGGCTTGGGAGTAACCTGCCATTCTCAGTGTACATGTTCCAGTGACTCCTACCTTTAAAGATCAATAACGTCACCGGCCACGTCCTTGCAATCAGGTGGGAGAGGGAAGGAATGTTAGTGTGTGACTTTTGTTGTTTTGGGACCGTGTTTACCTCTGCATCCCACAAAAGTCACAGGAAGGAGGTTTTGTTAGTGGGTTAGGTTCGTTGGATCAGGATTCACCTTGATAAGTGATGCGATCTTTTGTTTTGTGTAGTTATTTATAAGTGTTTTCGATTTATGCTCTAAACAGCCGGCTGTCTAGAGATGTAGATCATTATTAGATGTGTGTATACCGATTTAAACCAACAATAAGGATGCTGTTGGGGCCACTCACAAAGTGTGATGGTGGTTTACTTGATTGAATATAAAATAATTATTACTAGAACCGATTTGACCCGATTTAGACCAACAGCAAGGATACTGTTGGGGCCACTCACAAAGTGTGATGGTGGTTTATTTAGTTCGGAAGAAAATGAATATGTATACTTCTTTTTTTTTATATAATAGAACGAATTTGTACTGATTCAAACCAAAAGTAAGGGTTCTATTGGGGCAACTCACGAAGTGCGATGGTGGTTTATACTATAAGGGCATAAAACAAAATCAAGAGCCATTTCGGTTTCCATAGCTTCCTAGACACTCGGCCGCAAAATAATCTTATCCGACGGAAACGTCTCGATCATCGCGCGATTTACCGTATTGATTCAAATTCCGAACAGTGCGTTAAAATCATCCTTTGAAAAACACATTTTTTACCTAAAATATTGCTGATCCGCTCAGAATGTATTTAAACTCACGACTTATCGTAATATGGACATCCTAAAAGAAAAATTTTCAAAATCCGTCCCATACAAAAACACAAGTGCTCAGAATTTGAGCGTGTTCGTAATATGAATCAGAACGGTACAAACTGTAAAAATACCATTATACAATACATACTGGTATCACGTATGCCCCATTTACATTCACTCATGCATTTTGGGTTCATTCACACTCTTAGTCATAGAATAAAATTCATTCAACGTTCATTCATATTTTTTTTGTTCTGTCTCCACACACACTAATACAGCTTTGTGTTTATTCCTCCTCCAAACCCCCCCCCACTCCCACGCCTCATTCATCATTGAGAAAAAAGGCAGCAAGATCTACAAGATATTCCCTGCAATCATCACGTGGTAAAACTACTTACTCCCTCGTTAAAATTTAAGTCGAAATTATATTAAAAAAAAGTGTTTCATTAAGAACAGTGCCCATAATACTCCCAAAACGATCTCTGAGGTATGAAATCCTTAAGGTTCAATTTACTCTGATGCCCTTTGGAAAACTTCAATAGCAGCCCCCTCCGACGCATTACTTCAGATTGCAAAAAGCTCGCACTATTCGATTCCTTTTGATATTTTACACAAAATGACGCGAGCTTCCTGCAATCCAAAAGAATGCGTCGAAAAAAACTGCTTTCGAACCCTTAAAAAATGCATCAAAGTAAATTGAACCTTAAATATATTATAGATTATGTTAATATAGGTATATTCGCAACGAACCATGTATTTTTAGGTTACAACCATGGATTTTTTGACTGACAATAAGGGCGATTTTTAAATATGTAAATAAATAAAAGAGAGAAAAAAAGAAATAGTACTCCTGTAGATTTTCCGGAAAATCCGCAAAAACACGAGTGACACCCACCCAAACTCGAGCAGAATACCACCCATTCCCGAGCAAATCCACCCTCACAGCTCCCGAGCAAACCGCATCCAAACTCGAGTTGATTATTATTATTATTTTGTCCGATTTTATATTCACCACAAAGCGCTATCAAAAACTACGCTAGGTGGCAGCTCAATATGCGAAACTTTTCATTTCGTGCGGTTGTTGTCATAGGTTCAAAAGGGTACAACCGCTTTCGTCAACCATCTCCCGGGAACAAAAGCTCACACCTGCAAACCGCCGATATCATCAGATAGAGGAATGTTTCCTCTATCAGCTGGCACCGGTAATCTACAGGAGTGAACCTCTATCTGCGAAAAAGCGGCAGCCAAAGTCACTGTCCACAAATATGAGATTGCATGGTTGAGTTGTCTATGTCTGTTAAAAAAATGTGATGGTTATGATAGTAAGGTTTCGCAACGAAAAATGCAGGCGTTAAAATATCAAAGCTTTTTTAGAAAAGCTCTGTCAAGTACATTGAAATATTTCAATAATTCCTTGTGTTATTTTAACGTTACCTACGAATACTGATTTTCTTATTAGAATGAAAAAAGGCTGCGTGGATTGTCCATTTCACAATTAAATATATGTATAAACCCGGTACTTATCCTGATTATCCTCCAAACTGTATTTCTAACTTCCTTTCGGAATCGCCTAGAAATCCAGATCTGCAAGGCAAGCAAACAGCCACTCCAGATTTTGTTATCCTGCAGCTTTCGATTTCAAGCGTTACGATGCAGAAAAAGAGCAAAACACTAGCAAACGCCATTTTATGTTGTTAAATCACCCGAACAAATGTTTACACTTTTTAGGTTTTCTTCATCAGTAGGCAAAACAATGACTCTGGATTATTATTCCTTAAACCATAAACTAGTTTTTACGCTATTTCACGACTATAAAATAGTACAAAAACACTAGAAAATGACTAAAACTTGAGGAGCCTAATTTATTTAGATTATCAATTCGGCATGGTTGCCAGATCTCCCCCTAGAGCTTTATGCGACTTGGAAGGAGGCAATAAACGCAATCCATGGCCCATCGGAGCGTACTGAGTTGGAGGCTAAGTTTTTTTTTTTGAGACGGGGTTGGGTGGAAAAGGAAGTCGATGTTTGATACGATTTCAAATTTAAGATTTTAAGAGCTTTAAGGTGAATCGCTGTGGAAATCTTATTTCTGATTAATTTCATTATCACTTTGAAATTTCAAGAGCACAAATATCGGCTTTCACAAAACAGACGACATTGAAAATAGAACTTCATGTTTGCTTCAGTGGAGCAAACAGGTGATTCAAATTTCATGAGCGATATCGCAACAGTGTTCGAGATTTGTGCTCTAGAAAACTTGAAGAGATAGGGCATATCAACCATCATGGCTGCTATTTGTTAACTATTCAAGGAATCACCTTAAGAGTTCAGTAGTTACTTGGTAGGATACACAATTCCAAGACTGGGCGCAAAGCGTTAGTAATTAATCATAAAATTAATCATGATTCATTATTAATGATTAATGATTAATTATAAGTTTGCGGTGAAACCGTAGGGTTTGCTTAGCTCAGTCGGTAAAGGCGCAGCTATAACGCAAGACCATGCTGGAGGAGGCTGGGTTCGATTTCCGGCCCGGTCTAGGAATTTTTCGGATTGGAAAAGTTCTCGACTTCCCTGGACATATAGTATGATTGTACTTGCCCATCAATTATACCAATACAAAAATGGAACATGCATCGAAAGCTCTCAATTAATAACTGTGGAAATGCATCTACACGGGAAAAAAAGAGTTCCCATATTCGTGAACCACAGCCGTGAACCATAGTTCACGGTGTATATTTGAGAAAATTTTGTTCTGGATAGCTGGCCGTGATTTTTAGTTTTCGGGAACGGATTTTTTTCCAAGTAGACCACTATGTTCAGAGCACGCACTAAGCTTATATGCGATATCCTCACAATCATTAAATAAATGTGTTGTGGTAGGTGTACGGCCTCTTCGACAGAAATATCAAATTACTAACCACATAGCGGAATTTACATATTCTCGGCAACGTAAGCAGCGACCTTCTTTCTATAGCCTTTTTCTCTAAGGAACGCACACATATGCAGTATTGGTTTGTTTGCTGCTCTAACAATTTCAGTCGAAAGAATTGTCAAAAACTGTTTTGAAACGCTTTTACAAAGCTCCAATCTTCTCTAGTGAGAGCGAGTATTGTCGGCAACCAGTTTTTCTTCAGCAACCGTTCCATTTGAACTGCATGTAAATCTGCTGTTCTATTATCGGCAACTCGAAATCAGCTACAATTTGTAGTGCGTGTGTTTCATTTCACGAAAACCTTGCTAGATTGCTTTTTCTCTATGGTAAAAATATAGTCAAATTGAAGCTGAAAGCATAAAGAATCGTTTGCATGCATTCAGCGAAGTGTTTTCGTAAGAAAAT